GCTGGCCCGCAGGACTCCTCCGCCTCTGCGTGAACGGTCATAGCGCCTGAATTTGGGTGCTGGCAGAATTGTCAGCTGGTTTCTATCTTACTTGTGTAGCTGTGATATTGCGCTCATCTGGACTCGAGGCCAGATCGATGCTGTCGTGCGACGGGGTCCGGCAGCTGCACTTCGGCGCACGACGGGGCCCACCAACTGCACTTCGAGCCGTCCAGGCGAAAGCGCTGCGAGTGAGGCCAGCATAGTGGAGGGCCTCCCTATCTTTCCCTCCCCCTCCCTTCTCTACCCTCCCTCCTGCCCCGACTTCCTGGTGGGGGTGCCACTGCCTGGGCTCGCAGATGTCCTGCGGTCGCCGCCGGGCCGCTTTCTGGGCGCCGGCTCGCCCCCCAGCCGCTGAGGCGCAGCGGCCCCGTGCCGGGCGCCGCCGTGCCCGCCGGTCGGTTCTGTGCTGTCGTGGCGTCGGTTCACTCACACTCCGTCGGAGGGAGGAGAAGCGACACCAACACCACCAGGGGGCCCACCTCCAGCGAGGAGGTCCACGATGCCTCCCCGGGCTGGATGCCGGGGATGTCTCGAGCGAGAGGGGGGGACCACACCACCAGGGAGACCCCCCTTGCCTTCGCGCATCTCCTCGCCCTGTTGGTGTTGGTGTCGCCTTTCCTTGTTCCTACTCAGGCGGATCCCAGGTCTCCACGCCATGTGATCTGGGCTGGCCGCGCGCGTTCTCTTGCTCGACGGGCTCGGCCGCGCCGCTGCGCGCGTGACCGCGACCCCCCCCAAACAAAAGCCCGAAGCGTGCGCCACCCAGCGTGAACTTCGGGCTTTGCTACTGTTCCTCCTCGTTCTCCTGCCGTCGACACGGGTTTGTAGATCTGTGCGTTCGCTCACTTGGCGCGACTTATCTGCCTGGGCTTGATGCTTTGTTCAGGGTTATCGAAGACGCCTACAGCGAATCACCGCCGCCCCCTGCCTTTTTGAAACGCGTCTCTGTGGCCAAACGTTTGGATCCAGAACTTGGGATATATAATTCATCGGACCATGTGTTCCCCGAGCCGCTGTGGAAACCTTTTTGGGAACATTTGGATGAGCACGAGGCGGATCATCAGGAGAGGGAGGATGATGATTATGAGGGGAATGGGGAGGCGGAGGATGAGGAAGAGGAGTAGGACGCCTCCTGGGAGCCTTTTGAGCCACCTCTTACTATAGCTAGTAGTCGCATCATTCTCACACGCCGTACACGCGCACCCTCCGGGACTTGCCTTCGCACGCACCAGCGGGGACACGTGTAGTACGCGCACCCTCTGGGACGTGCTTCGCACGCACCAAGTTGGATACGCATGCAATACTATACGCGCACCTTTTGGGTCGTGCTCCAGAGTGCACCCACTGGGACACTTGTAGCAGTAGCGCTAGTAATATGAGTTGTGGGCGCCTTTGGGGCTTCTTGGGGGTGTCCCTGGCCGTCGTAGGGCGTTCTTAGTCCGTCCAAAGCCGTCTTGGGGGCTTGTCTGGGTTGTCTTGGAACTTTCTTGGGGTGTTGCAACACCGTTTTGGAGGCCATGGAGGGCGTATTGGAGGCTTCTCGGGCCGTCTTGGGGTCTTCTCCGGGCCGTCTTCGGGACCTTTTGGGCCGTCATTGGGCCATCTTGAAGGTCTTTTGAGCGATGTTGGGGCCATCTTGGAGGCACCTTGGGCCGTCGGAAAGCTGAAAAGAAGCGAATGCCAACATTTTCAACCTAGGGGAAGTCAAAGATTTTGGCATTCTCGGGCCTACCCAGAAAACCTTTCGCAGGCCTCTTCGGCCATCTTTTGGGCATCTTGCGCGTTTCTTGGGCCGTTTGGGGCTCTCTTGGATCATTTTGGCGAGTTTGGAGGTATTTGAGATTTTGTCCTGGAGGCTATATTGAGGCTATCTTGGGCTCTCTTGGAGCCGTCTTGGCCGTCTTGGTGGCCGCTTGGCCGTCGTGGAGGCCATATTAAGGCAATCTTGACCGACAAGGCAGGCGGGAGGGGCATCCCGGCGCAACGGGCCGAAACCCCAGGGGGAGAGTTTGTTTGGGAAAGAACGAAGTAATACATTCAGCACGACAGACAGCCTTGTGACACATCAACAGGGGGCGGCGGACTTATGTGTCCGAGCGTTGCGATTAGAGCTTGACCTAGCAATAGGACCATGCCTTTCCCGAGTTGGTTTTGAAAGCCTTCGGGGAACACTTGGGTGATAATGATTGCAATAGCATGAGGACTTCGATCTGATCTTCCTCACCTCGCGTTTCTTGGGGGCCCCTTAGGACAGTCTTTGGGGTCGCCTAACGCAAGGGACAGTCATAAGATGGAGAGGTGTGTTGCAGGTCGCAAGACAGCATACTATTAGAGTGCGAGTACTGATGTTCAAAGGGATGTCGCCTGAGGCTTCCAGGTGACACCGTTGCTTTGATCAGCGGTGCTTCGTAAGCTCCTCTGTGGTCATTATTCGGGTGAGCTATCGGACCAGGTGTTCCCCGAGCCTTCGTTGAAACCTTTCAGGGAACACGTGGCCTGGAACTGGGCCTTTTGCATCCTGATTTTGTTTGGAAAGCCTTCCTGGAACGCTTGGGTGAGAATGATTGCAATGAGGACGTCGATCTGGACTCTCTCGCCCATCTTGGGGGTCTCCCTGGGCAGGCTTTGGGCCCACCTCCCACGAGGGCGGGTTGTTTGGGGCCCGGTAGGACTGTCCAGGGCTGCCTTGTGGTCGTCAGGGATTTTCGTTTATATGTTTTCGGAACCGGCTTTGGGAACACACTGGTCCTCCACCGCAGCTGGCACTTCTGATGCAGAATCTGTCATTGACATGTTTTCCCGAAGCCGCCTAGATTTGTTTCGGGGACCGCTCGAAGGATCGTTTAAAGTTGCAGCCCTTCGTTGGCGAGAGGACTTCGTTGACGTACACTGCTTGAGAATTTTGCTTGGACCATGTCCGTCCATAGGTACATCTGGGCTCAGGCTCGCTTGAGTCTGGAGTAGACGATACCGCCCAACACAAGTCGCATCCAAGACAGTGCATGGCCATGCTTAGCTCGTCCGCCGCTGGGTCGTTCCGCTTGGATGTCCAGGAGGCCTCCTGGGAGCCTCTTGAGACACCTTCTACTATAGCTAGTAGTCGCATCAGTCTCACACGCCATGCACGCGCACCCTCCGGGACATGCCATGGCGCGCGCCCGCTGGGACTCGCGTAGCACGCGCACCCCATGGGACCCGCTTCGCACGCACCCAGTAAGACGCGCTCTTTGGGACGCGCTCCAGCAAGCACCCACTGGGACGTTTGTAGCAGTTGTGCTAGTAGTATGAGTTGTGGGCTCCTTTGGGGGGAGGGAGCGGGCCCCCTCCCTGCTTCTGCTGACCTCGCCCAACATCCGCGCGCCAAGTGCAGAAAGAGGTCGCGCGGCGGCTGGGCCAGAGATGCCTTCTGGTCCTGCGGAGCGCCACCGCCAGCGAGGACCGGGCGAGGCTGGCTTCCAGCGGCGGCCGCGCGTTCGGGGCTTGGCAGCTGGCCTCGCTGGGCGCCGCGGACAGCGCCCCAGCAACGCCGACTACCGCCCGCGAGCTCCTCGGCCAGGACCTCGCGCCGCCTGGGGCTAGCCGCGCCAAACGGACGCGCGCCGGCCCGCGCGCGTGCCGTCTCTGCGGCGAGCCGCTTTGCAGCAAGGCGTGCAGCGCCTTTCGATGTCCACGCGGCGGGGGCGTCAAAGCCCGCAGCAGGGATGTCGAGGACGGGCGGGGGCGCACTGGCACCGAGTGCTGCTTCCACGCGGCCCACCAGGTTCCCGCTTCGGCGTGGGATCGGTGGGCGCGGCGCTGCGCCCGTGCGACGCGCGCGGCATGGCCTACGGGCAGCCGGGCCCCTGCGCCGCTTGCGGCCAGCCGCTGGAGGCCCGTCGCGAGGAGGCTATTCTCAACCTCGAGGTGCAACGTGCTGGCTGTCCGCGCGTCTTCATCAACGTGACAGTCAGTTGCGCCGTGCCCAGGGACGCCGACGAGATGGCTGCCGCGGCCAGGGCGCCGGCAACGCTGCGGCCGAGGCCGACAAGCGGCGGCGGTACCCGGTTTGCCGCTGCCCGTGGCCGCTGCTGGTACTCGCTCTTGAAACTGTGGGCCGGCATGACAAGGCGGCGCTGCGCCACCTCCGCCAGCTCGCGCGGGACCGAGCGGAGCTGGTGGACGAGGAGCGAGCCGCTGCGGCAGACAACGCCCTGTCACAGCGCTAGGGCGCTGAGTTCAGCGTCGCCTAGGCGCGGCAGCTGTGGACCGCCCTCGGCGGGGGCCGCGCTGCCTGCGCCGCCGGGCTGCGCGCGAAGGCGCTGAGCCAGCGCTGGGGCGGGCTGGCTGTCCTGCGCTCGCGGAGGACTACTCGCTTGTGCAGAAGCTCTACATTGTCGTCGCGCCGCTCGTCGTGTGCAGAAGCGGTGCGCGTTGAGTTTTGACTCGCTTTGCATGCAGGAGGTGGAGGACGACGAAACGGATGATAACCTTGTTGGTAACGATGGTGATGATGATGATGCTGATGATGATGATGATGAGGAGGAGGAGGAGGCGGAGAAGGAGGAGGACGAGAGTCTGGACGATCTGGCATTGACAGATGCGAGTAATGATGATGTTGCTAACGGCGGCGACGAGGATAATGGTTAGGATGGTGATCAATGACAAGAAATCGCGCCCACGATGATGATGATGTTGATTATTTCGAATTTGAAGCTTGGGTAAGGACTGGGACGCACGATGCGGAACATGATCAGATGATTTCCTGAGGGGTCAAAGAGGAGGACGAGGTGAAAGCGGAGGAGAAGGAGGAGGGGGATGCGGATGACGAGGGCGAGGATGATGAAGGTGATGATGATGAGTGCGGTGGTGGTGATGGTGATGATGTGGAGGATGGAGAGGAGGGGCAGGAGGATAAGGAGGATGCGGCGCAGGAGCAGGGGCGGGAAGAGGATGCTAGACTCGCTTCGTATGTCTGCCAGGTCCTGCTGACGTATCCGCTTTCCCCAAAGATTGAGCACAAGGCTTGCGGCAGCTAGGGGATGGTGGATTGGGAAGGAATATGGATGTGTCTCTCGGTCGTGCTTCCTGGGTGCTTGTACACTGCGCTGGCGCATTGCTGTGGCAGCCAGATTGGCAACCAGATAAGGGGTCCGTTTCTGCCAATACAAGCATCGGGGCAGAAGAAAGCAGGAGGAGAGCCAGCGGAAGGAGTATTGTGGGGAAGTGTGGATAGAGGTGTAGAGGGGAGAGAGGAGGCAGCGGGCAGGGATATTGATAATGTGACTCGTTCGCGATGTGTTTTTGAGCTGCGGGGGCATGCTTACTGATCATAACGGACACTTGAGCAAGTGCTCGCACGCCGCACCGTCGGACATACACAGGTTTGCTTGGTGAGGAGGACGAGCTTGGAACGGAGAGGAGCGATATCGAGCAGCACACACACGGATACACATATGTGTAGATACGAATAGCGGCTATACATACACATGTCGTCGTTCCTTCCGTTGGCCCTTTTTGCATGATCTCTGGTTTTTCGCCACGGACTCGGGTTCAATGCGGCGCCGCCGAGGAGAATGAGGATGTTGATGGGAAAGGGGGAAGGACGACAACGAGAGGATGATAAGGAGAGGATGAAGAGGAGAGGGAGGAGAAGGAGGAGGTGGAGAAGGAGGAGGAGGAGGAAGAGGAGGACACAGAGGAAAAAGAGGAGGACGAGGATGATGAGGATGAGGATGAGGATGAGGATGAAGATGAAGATGAGGATGATTATGTTGATGATGATGATGATGATGATGATGATGATGATGATGATGCTGATGATGATGATGATGAGGTTGTTGATGATGATGATGACGATGATGATGATGCTGATGATAATGATGATGATGATGATGATGATGATGATGATGATGATGATGATGATGATGATGATGATGATGATGATGATGATGATGTTGCTGATGATGGTGATGATGATGATGATGATGAGGAGGAGGAGGAGGAGGAGGAGGAGGAGGGGGGGCAAGGAGGAGGAGGAGGACGAATAAGCATAATAATAGTACGAGGAGCAGGAGGAGGAGGAAGAGGAAGAGGAGGAGGAAGAGGAGGAGGAAGATGAGGAAACAGAGGAACACGAGGAGGACGAGGGAGGAGGAGAGAGAGAGGAGGAGGAGGAGGAGGAGGAGGAGGAGGGAAGAGGAGGGAAGAGGAGAAGGAGGAGGAGGCCGAGGAGGAGGAGGAGGAGGAGGAGGGCGAGGAGGAGGAGGAGGAAGAAGAATAAGAGGAGGAGGAGGAGGAGGAAGAGGAAGAGGAGAGGATGAGGAGGAGGAGGAGGAGGAGGAGGAGGAAGAAGAGGAGGAAGCGAAGGAATACGAGGAGGACGACGAGGAGGAGGAAGAGGAGGAGGAACAGGAGGGAATGGAGGAAACGAAGGAACATGAGGAAAACAATGCAAACGAGGAACACGGGGAGGAGGAAGACGCGGAGGAAGAGAAGGAGGAGGAGGTGGCGGCGGCGGAGGACGAGGAGTAGGAGGAGGAGGAGGAGGAGGAAAAGGGGGAGGAGGGGGAGGAAAATGAGGAAATGGAGAGAAGACGAACATGATGAAAAGGAACAACATGAGGAAACGGAGGAGGAGGCCGAGGAGGAGGAGGAGGAGGAGGAGGAGGAGGAGGAGGGGAAGGAGGAAGAGGAAGAGGAGAGGAGGAGGAGGAGGAGGAGGAGGAGGAGGAGGAGGAGGAGGAGGAGGAGGAGAAGGAGGAGGAGGGGAAGGAGGGGGAGGTGGGAAGGACGAGAAGTATAAGGAGGAGTAGGAGGATGAGGATGGGGAGGAGGAGGAGGAGGAGGAGGAGGAGGAGGAGGAGGAGGAGGAGGAGGAGGAGGGAAGAGGGGGAGAAGGAGGAGGAGGAGGAGGAAGAGGAAGGAGGAGAGGAGAGGAGGAGGAGAGGAGGAGGAGGAGGAGGAGGAGGAGGAGGAGGAAAGAGAGAGGAAACAGAGGAAAACGAGGAGGAGGGAGGAGGAAGAGGACGAGGAGAAGGAGGCGGAGGAGGAGGAAGAGGAGGGAGGCCGAGGAGGAGGAGGAGGAGGAGGAGGAGGAGGAGGAGGAGGAGGGAGGGAGGAGGAGGGGAGGAGGGGAGGACGAGGATAAGGAGGGTAGGAGGAGGGGAAAGGGGAGGAGGAGGAGGAGGAGGAAGAGGACATGGAGGATGAGGAGGAGGAGGAGGGAGGAGAGGAGGAGGAGGAAGAGGAAGAGGAAGAGGAGGAGGCGAGGAGGAGGAGGAAAAGGGAACAAGAGGAAAACGAGGAGGAGGAGGAGGAGGAGGAGGAGGAGGAGGAGGAGGAGGAGGAGGAGGAGGAGGAGGAGGAGTAAGAGGAAGAGGAGGAGGAGGCGGAGGAGGAGGAGGAAGAGGAGGAGGCAGAGGAGGAATGCTCTCGATAGCGTCTTGCCGCGCTCTTGTGCTGAAACAGGGTTTTTGCCCATCTGTTTTGGGGCCTGTAGAAGACTCTTGAGAGGCCTCCCGGGGGCGCTTGGGAGGCATTTTTGATGCCTGTCGGGGGCTTCTTCGGGTCTCTTGCAATCGCTTGGGAGGCTCCTGGGGCCTCTCGGGGCCTTTTGGGAACCTCTTAGGGCCTCTCGGGGGCCGCTTGGGGGTCTCTTGAGGGTCTCTTCGGGACTTTCTTGGGGGTGTCGTAGGGAAGGGCCTTTCGGGGGCGCCTTGAGAGGTTCTTGGCGCTTTGGAGTGCATTTTATAGGTATCTCGGGGCCCTCTTCGGGTGACTTTCGGCGCCTCTCTGGCCGTCTCGGACGCAAAAGGGGGATATGCTAAACATGTGCGTCCTCTCCCAGGAATTGAAGCATGTTTGCTGCTCGAGGCTATCCTGAGAGGCCTCTTGGGGACCTCTTGGGCCGTCTTGAGGCCATCTTGAGCCCTTGGACCGTCTTCCCATCTTGCTGTATCCCTCTTAGGCCGTCTTGTGGGCATCTTGGGCCGTCTTGGAGGCTTCTTGAGCCGTGTTGAGGCCTCGTATAGGGCGCTCTGGGAGGCCCGGAGGGCGGCGCCGAGGAGCACACCCATCTCTGGGTAGAGCTTCCAGGAGACTTGCCGGGCACTTGCTGGGGAGTTCTTGCCGGGGATCTCCCGGGGGCTTTTTTCGTCCAGGGACCCCCCGGGGCGGCCCCGCGCGCGCGGATTAGAAATATCATACATGTTCCGCGGTATGTATGTATGCATTATGTATGTAGGTAGGTAGGTATGTAGGTTTGTATGTCTGTATGCATGTATGCATACATGCATGCATGCATGTATGTATATGTACATGTATATGCGCATGTATTAGAATGTGTATTTGCACATGCATATGTAAATGTATATGTAGATGTAGATGTATTTGGATGAATGGATATGTGTGCATGTTTGCATGCGTGCATGTATGGATTGACGTTTGATGAATGCTTTGATTTATGTAGGCGTTAGTATGTGTGAATGCATGCATGCCTATGTATGTATGTATGTATGTATGTATGCATGTATGTATGTATGTATGTGTGTAGCCGTGCATGGATGTAGGTGTGTGTATGTATGTATGTCTATGTCCGTGTATATGTATATCCATTTGTGTATGCTTATATGTAGATGCGCATGCGTATGCCATGTATACGACTATGAATATGACTTTGTATTTGCATAGGTATATGTACGGATCTGTGTTTCGGAATATGTATATGTACATGCACCTGAATGTGTATATGTATGTGCATGTGTGAATGTATCTGTGTATGTATGAATATATGTATAAGTATAAGTATATGTATATGTATATGTATATGTATATGTTCTTTCATATGTACATGTATATGCATGCGTCTATGAATATGTATGCATCTCTGTGTGTGCATGTATGCATGTATGCATGCATGTAGGGATGGATTGATGTATTGATGTATTGCGTGTATGCGTGCGTTGCATGTATGTATACAGGTGGTTGCATTTGCATGTATAGATGGACATGTGTATGTATGCATGTATGTTTGCATGCGTGCATGCATGGATTGGTGAATTGATTTATGTATGGATGTATGGATGCGTGTGTATGGACGTATGCATGCATGCATGCACGTATGCATGTATGCATGGGTCCATGTATGTATGCATGTATGCATGCATGTATGCATGTATGCATGTATGCACGTATGCATGTATGTACGTATGCATGTATGTGTCTGTATGTATGAATGTGTGTATGGATGGATGGATGGATGGATGGATGGATGAATGGATGGATGAATGGATGGATGGATATATGGATCGATGGACGGATGGATGGATGGATGGAAGGGTGGATGTATACACACATACACATATACATATATCTGTGTACACATATATGTATACATATTTATTCATATATATATATATAAACATAATATATATACATATTTATCGATTTAGGCGGTGCCTGTTGTGGAGCGACCCTCTCCCAGGATCGCTTGTCATGGGGGTATCGTCCTGGAGGCACCGCCAGTGCGGGCCGGTACGAACCCCCCCGGGATGCACAGAATTTCCCGGGACGCACCGCCAGTGCGGACCCTGGTACGAACCCCCCCAGAATGCCCTGAACCTCCAGGCCACGAGCGTGTGGGAACGCCCAGGGAGCGCGTGCGAGCGTCTGTCGGCGGCGGCGGCGGCGGCGACGACGGCGACGATGACATCCAGCCAGAGAGCTCCAGGGGACCCTAGAACCCACAGATGTTTCCTGGGATCAGTTTTCAGGGTTCCAGACGTCCTCGTTCCCTAGAGGTTTCTGGAGGTCCCCGGAGGTCTCCTCCCCACTCCATTGCATTCCTCGGCATTCCTCACAGCTCCCCCCGGCTCCTCCCAACTCCATCGCACTTATCGGCCCCACTCGGCGGGGTGGCGGAATGGAAAGAGGGAAGTGGAGAGACGGAAGGAGACATGAGGGAATGGAGACCTAGATCATCCATGGGTGCGCGAAGGTAAATTGAACGACGCACAGAAACCAGGTCGTCTTCGCCGACATTGGCGCGTAAGCCGCCCGCGTAAGGTCGCGCGTAAGCGCACGTCTCCAATGCAGCATGCCGCGCTGGCGACCCGCGTAAGCCACCGCGCAAGGTCATCGTGCCATATCGCGAAAGACCCACTTTTGATCGTCGCTCAATTAACCTTCGCTCTCCGCGCTCGGGGCAAGAGTTGTCCTTCTCCAGGGCCCGGCTTGCGAGAGCACGACGAGAATCGTCGTTCCCGCGACGCGAAAGCCGAAGTTCTGTTATGTGGGTGAGGTAAGGACAAGTTCTTGTTCCTCGTCCTCCTCCTCATCATCATCATCCTCTCCTCGGCACGCTCGACTCCTCATAATCCTCTCTCCCCCCGAGTTCTTCCCGAGGCCCGGACGTTCAACAAGAAGATCCGCGCACAGAAACCCGACCTGGATTTGCTGACCGCAGAGCTGTACATCAACAACCCGAAATGGTCGCCCTACCTGGACGAAGAGACGGCGAAGCACACCAGCAGGCGGGAGAGGAATTGAGGAGGGGGGGGGCGGGAGCACGGTCGTGAAAAGTCGGACGGCGTGTCGCTCCGCCGATTCTGGCTCACCACGCTTCGGTGTAGCACGCCATCCGCTTTCTCATCCCCAAGCGTCCACGTCCCGGGCCGATCCGAGCGTCTCTCCGCGGAGCGGAGCGACACACCACCCGCTCGTGTGGCATAGCGCGTCGCTGGGGCCGCCGCGGCCACACGCCACCCAAACAGTCCCGACCGTGAGGAGAAGGGAGAAGCAGGGCGCTGGACTTCAACGGTGTTTTTGGCGATTTCGTGGGCCGTTTTCGTTGCGATCTCGTTTTGCGGTAAAGGCGGATTCGAGACAAGAGCGAGGGACAACGAGAACAAAACGCAAACGACAAACACCGTTTAGGTTCAGCCCTGGGGAGAAGGCCGCCCCAGCTTCTTCGAGGCGTGGGCCCCAGAGGCCTGGGCCACCTCGCCCGGGCCGGCCCTTCGCCCCGAGCCGCTTCTTTGTTGGAGGTCCCGAGGCCCGGCGCGAGCCCCTGGAGGCCGAAAGCGACCTTGCAGGCACGCCGCCCCCATTTGTGTTGGGAGCGTCGGATTCGTGGGTCTTTCGGCGCTGGCGCTTGCCTCAGCTTGGTGGCGAGGGGGGGAGGGGGGGGAAGTGAGAAGAGGCGGGCCTTCTCAGAAGGCTCGGAAGTCCCCCCGCCTTCGAGAAGTGTTCTGGGCCTTCCCCGAAGGCACGGATCACTTCTCGGGAGGCGCGGGGGGCTTCTGAGACACCCCGCCGCCTTCCGAGAAGGCCTTCTCCTCCCCACTTCCCCCCCTCGCTCGCCGCCAAGCACGCAGCAGGGGGTGGCTCGAGGGTCGCGGGAGCCGCGGATCGTGCCCCGGCGCCGCCGCAGGCCGCGGGGCCTCCGACGGCAGGGCCTCGGGCCGAAGCGGAGAGAGGGCCTGCCTGGCCGCGCTCGGGGCAGGGCGAGGGGGAGGCGGCGCGGCAGCTCGAGATCGGGCCGCTCGGGCAGGGGATGGACTACAGAGCTGCTTTGCCCCCAAACTCCTGGGGAAGCCAAAAGGTACTCCAGATTTCGTAATAAAAGGGAGGGGGTCTCAACCCTCCCAGACAAGAAGTTTTAGACCCCCCCCGTGGGAGAACCCTCCGAAACATCGTCCCCAGACCCCCCCAGGCCCTCCAAGATAGCCTGGAAGAGACCCCCCCCCGAAATGAGACCCCCCTCCCTTTATTACGAAATCTGGAGTACCGATACCGCCACTCTCTGGACCTCTCCGGGGGTGCGTTCTGGCCAGGATCTCGAGGCGAATCCAGCGGCGGCGACGAGGACCTCCCAGGAGGCCCAGAAAGGGGAAAACGAGAGAGGGGTAGAGGTATGGGTACCTCTTTCTTCTCTGAAGCTCCTCCTCCTTCTCCTCCTCCTCCTCCTCCTCCTCCTCCTCCTCTGCCTCTTCCTCCGCCTCCGCCTCCTCGGGCCTTCGAGGCGGCACCCCACGCCGAGGCGGCACCCTGGGCGCGAGAGCGACCTCGCCCCGCGAGTCCGCCGGCCCGGGCGGGTGGACTCCATGGAGTTGTGGAGGACGATCAATGGAGAGGGAGCATGCTGCCAAATAATTCCCAGATGTGTGAAACACGTTTCAAACATGTTTTAAATATGTAAAAAAACATGTTTAAAACGTTTTTAGAACACGTGTTACACTTTTCAAACATTTTTAGTTCAATGGTAGGATTGTAAGAGTGCCCATTGTCATGGCATCCACAACTCCATGGAGGGCAGGCCACCCCGACCCCTGAAAGCGGAGTCGGGCATGTGCCTCTGCAGGAGGCGGAGGGATCTTCAACACTAGTCAAACTACATCAGTTTTTTGTTGCCATGTTCGACTATTCGGGGTATGTTTTGGCAATTTGTCATTTTCTTCCTAAATACGCCTGTAGGAGGACATGCCCGACCTAACCTGAAGGTCGGACCGAGGTATAGATCGAGGTCGGTTCGGCGGCGGTACCCTAATCAGTGTTCTTCGTGCTGGCTGGCTGTTCTTGTGCATCCTGGGGGAGGGCACCCTCGAGAGCTCCTCCTCTTGGCCGGCGGAGGGTCTCCTGTTCTTGAGGGGTGTTCTTTTGGCCTGGGTCGATTTGTACTAATCGGCCCAGGGCTTTTACTAAGCAGCCCTGCCCTGTTCGATCCCACCCTCGGGTGCGTTTGTTAGAAGTTTCGCTTGTCGGGCTGCGTGTTGTGGGGCTGGCTATTCTGCCCTCTATGGATTGGACCCTGACGCGGTCGCATTCGGGCCAAGCTCGGCGGCGAGCGAAGGGGTGAAGTGAGAAGGGGCGGGCCCTCTCAGAAGGCCCGGAAGTCCTCCGGCCTTCTGAGAAGTTTTCTAGGCCTTCCCCGCAGGCGCAGACAGATTCTGAGAAGGCCCGAGGGCTTCTGAGAAGTCTCGCCGCCTTCCGAGAGTGCCTTCTCCTCCTCACTTCCCCCCCCTCGCTTGCCGCCGACGAGCGGGTCCCAAGCCCGGCCTGCGCCCCGTGCGCGACGGAGGCCTCGCCCCGCGACCCGCCGCCCCAGGTGGGTGGAGGCGCGGTGGCCCGACTCTCGCGGCCTGCTGCGATGGCCGGGGTGCTGCACGGGGGGGCCCCGGGGTCCAGGCCTCTCCCATGGGCCCCGAGCAGAGGGGGGCCGGAGGGCTGCGCCGCAGCGCCGATGCATCGACGATGCGGCTGGGTGTGGAGTCGGAGCTGCTGCACGCCGATCGCGCCGATGCGTCACCGAGGCATCCACGATGCATCGGCGGTGCGGCGCGATCCTCCGAGCCCAGCTGCTCGGGCCCCGTCTGGGAGGCCTCTGAAGGGCCAGGCTCGTCCTGAGGCGCGGCCTGCCCGTGAGTGCGAGGCGGGCACAGGCCGCGGCGACGAGGGCGCAGCAGCAGGAGCGCAGAAGTGGCGACGAGCGTTGAGATCACGTCGAGCAGGAGTGGGAGGAGGAGGAGGAGGAGGAGGAGGAGGAGGAGGAGGAGGAGGAGGAGGAGGAGGAGGAGGAGGAGGAGGAGGAGGAGGAGGAGGAGGAGGAAGAGGAGGAGGAGGAGGAGGAGGAGGAGGAGGAAGAGGAGGACGGGCCCTTAGTTGACTTGCCGTGAGATTGGGAGCCCCAAAACCAGGCGGTGAGGTATACCTGGAGTCCCCAAGAAGTCACCGCGGGGTTTTGGAACACGGGGTCACCGCCGGGTTTTGTGACTCCTGGACACACCAGCGTTCGGGACATCTTCGGAATTCCACACGAGTCCCCAAACCGGATGGTGACACCAAGACTAACCGCCGGGTGTTGTCACCCACCACGTTCGGGGACTACCAATGAACCCAGACCCCCGACGTCATGATTTGTTCATGACGTCGACCCCCAGAGGTCTCGACCCATTCCCTCGAGAAAACGCCACAAACATAAACTGTCGACGCTCCGCGCGGATTTCTTGGATCTGCGCCGGGCCCCCCCAGCGGCGCTTCTGGCGGCACCTCTGGCGCGCCAGGTATGGGGTCCCGCGCAGATCCAAGAAATCCGCGCGGAGCGCCAAAAGTTCATGTTTACGTTTGCCCTTTTTTGTTCCTCTAGTGAACACACCCCAGAGGGGCCTGAAGCCTCAGGTCTCCCAGCTGGGCTCCGAGTAGCTGGGGTCGGAGGATCGCGCCGCATCGCCGATGCATCGGCGATGCACCAGCGATGCGGTGCGATCCTCCCGGCCCCATCTGCTCGGGCCCCGTCTGGGAGGCCTCTACCTGAAACCCAGCAGTTCCCCGTTTCTGCCGCACCGATCGCCCCTCGCGTCGAGCAGCTGCTCCCGCGCGTGGACGTGTTTTCCGGAGGTTCGCGCCGCCGCTCGTCCCTTGCGGCGCGGTCTGGGTCAAGTTGTCGATCCGTTTCCCGACGTCGCCGCGGCATCGCCGAAGCATCGGTGATTCGGCGCGATCCTCCGTCCCCACCTGCCCCGACCCCTGATGAGTACGGTCCGAAACTTTTTGGACAGCGCGTCGCGCCGCCAGTTCTGGCCCACCACGCTTCGGCGCGACACGCTGTCCACCTCCCTGTCCCCAGGCCTCAACGTCCCGAGCTTGTCCGAGCCTCTCGTCCCGCGAGGCGGAGCGGGTAGCCCCCACCTGCAGCTGTACATCTACGTATATTGTATACAGAGAGAGAGAGAGATAGAGAGAGGGCGAGAGAGAGGGCGAGAGAGAAAGAGAGAGAGAGAGAGAGAGAAATGTGCTGAACAAGGGCGCCCGCTGTCCGCTTGACTCGTGGGCCCGTGCCGCACTCGCGCGCTGTGTGGACTGGCGATCTCATCTCCCCGCTGTCCTGATTCTCCTTTTTTGCCGGCGTGCCGACCGTCGCTGCTCTCCTTGGTGCGTCGAGCACTTCCACATCTCGGATCTCCACGTCTTGGGGCCCGCAGCGGGGGCCTCAGGAGGTCTGCGGGGTTCTCTGGGAGGTCCCCAGGGGCCTCCAGCCCCCAGAGGCCCACGAGGGGGGGCCAGACAAGGTCGAGGAGGGGAGCCCAGGGGAGGCTTCCTCTCTCGTCTCTCTCTCTCTCTCTCTCTGTGCGCTGGCTGCCGCCGGCCCGCTGCTGCCTTGCTGCTGGTCGTCGCCGCTGCCGCCTTTTTTTCGCCCGCGGCCGCGCGCGGCGGCGGGCGATGGCACGCTCGTCGAGCGCGAAAGGCAGGGGAGGCTAGCTCCCTCTTCCTGTTCTTGTTTTGTTATGCTGTCAGGGCTAGGTGGCTGGCTGCGGCGACTGCTCGTCGGCACGCCGCCGTGGGAGTCGGGCGCTGGTCGGTGTTTTTTTTTTTTTTTTTTTTTTTTTTTTTTTTTTTTTTTTTTTTTTTTTTGTTTTTTTCCGGAGGCCTAGAGGTTGACTCTAACGCCAACATCGGCGGTGTGCTTCCATCGAGGGGAGATAATCCCGATCTCGGTGATGGTGGTAAGATTCGGGCTTCCTGGGGCGTCGACAAACAAACCCACGGGCACCAGCATTCAGGATCATCTTTTCCCCGAAGGAGGCCCCCCCTTGTGTTGGTGTTGGTGCTCCATGCCTCCACTTGTTCTGTCTGTCTTCCTCCGCGCCGTTCTGTATCTGCCTTCCTCCGCGCCTCGCCGTTTCCTGTCTCGCCTTCTTTGCAAGCTCGTGAGTGCGACTGCTGGTCCTGCGGTCACGTCGATCTTTGAGATCAGTTGCTCTTCGTTTCGGTCGAGCGTTTCTGTCTTCTGCAGCCTCCAGTCAGCTGCCCCGCTGTCTCAGTCTTCTGATAATCGAATCGCTGGGCTGCACGCGCGAAGCTGCCCAGCGTTTGCGCAAGATGTGTGCAGAGCTCGGCTGCAGATCCGTCCCAGCTTTCCAGCTTGGCGGCTGCCGGTGTATTGTTTAAGGCTTGATGCGATGAGGGCCACGATGTGAACAAATGAGTGCGTCTGCAGTAACATCCCTTTCTGCACGGGGGTTCAGTTGTCTGCGCCGCAAGGTTCCAGAGATTTGATCGCCCGTCTGCGACCCAGCGCGCGGCTGACCGCTTGTGACTGCTGGCGGGGCACGCGCAGTCATGGCGACCATTCCAGTGCGTCATGGCTGGGCCGCAGCGGCAACAGTGCGTCCATTCCACAGCGGCAGTGGTTCGAGCGCTCGTTGTGGCATGTCTATGCGCGGTGTCTTTGTCCTCGTCCTCGGCCTCTTCCTCCGTTTCTTCGTTGTCCTCCTTGTCCCTCACATCTTCCTTCGCAGCCAAACATATCCCGCACTTCTTCTTGTCTCTTCTTCTGCGTGTGCGTCAATATCCTCATGATTCTTCTTCCTCCAGTTCCGAGCACGAAAACAAACAGGAGTGGCCTGTTATCGGGTTGTTCGAACCGATCATGAGGAGCGGTCGAGCGAATTCGACCCGAGGGAACGACTGCCACACCGTGGCCCTCCAGCGTATCGTACAGTGGGGGGCCATGCCAAGAAACACCCTGCTTGCCTCCAGGGTGCCCTGGGTTTCTTGGGTTTCGATGGTTTTGCTGTGGAGGGCGCGACGCTTCCACGCCCAAAGCGACCTACGTCCTGGGGTCTCAGGTTTGGGTTTCTTGTGGAAGGTTTCTTGTGGACTGGCCTCCACTGCACTCTTTGTCAGCGGCGTGTGCTGGGCGGTGTCTCCATCCCTCACCTTCCTCTTTGGGCTCCTTCCCTCCCTCCCCCCTCGGCCGTCGCCGCCCTTCCTCCGCTGACAGGTGGTTTGGCACCGGGGTCCTCATCGCGAAGCCGCCGTACACCACCGCGGAGCGGATCCGGGCGGCGCTGTCGGCGATGTGCCAGGAGCCGCCGGGCGGTGGGACGGCACGCGTCGCGGCTCGCGGGCGCTCGTCGGGTCTCAGCTGCGGGGGCTCTTGACGCCGGGTGCAAGCGAGGCGGGGTTGGGCTCGACGGAGGGAGGGGGAAGAGAAGAGGAGGCGGAGGAGAAGGATGAGGAGGAGGAGGAGGAGGAGGAGGAGAAGGAGGAGGAGGAGGGGGGGAGCTGAGGAGGGGGAGCTGAGGAGGAGGAGGAGGAGGAGGAGGAGGAGGAGGAGGAGGAGGAGGGGGACGAGGAGGAGGAAGGAGAGGCGGAGGAGGAGGAATGGGACGAGGAGGAGGAGGAGAAGGAAGACGAGGAGGATGATAGTGGGAGGAGGAGGAGAATAGGAGGAGGAGGCGGAGGAGGAGGAGGAGGCGGAGGGATAATCGTAATATGAAGAATTGTTTTATGGAGAAGCATACTGATCATACTGCGAATGATAAGACGAGGAGGACGAGGTGGAGGAGGACGAGGATGGGGGGAGGAGGAAGAGAAGGATGATCACTGACCAAACTGCCAGGTCTGCTTGGGTTGCACCCCAACTCGCAGCATGTTAGCAGGGGTCTGCTAGCGAGGGCTCGCCCTGGCTAGTAGCCCCCACAAGGATCGGTACGAACTGGCTGCCCGGGTTAGGGGTAGCACGTGTGGAGGGCTGCTTGGCCACTGGTCTGGGGGTAGCCCAGCAACGAATTGCGTGCCAAGGTTGGGCGAGGTTGCGGAGCGGGAGAGCGGGGTGGGAAGGGGTAGGTCGTGCGGAGTGACGAATTGGTTGCCCGGGTTAGGGGCAGCACGTGCGGAAGACGAATTGGCTGCCCGAGTTGGGGTAGCACGCGGGAGGGCTGCCAACGCATGCCAACGCATGCCAATGCATGCCAACGCAGGTCAATTCATGCCAATGCATGCCAATGCCTGCCAACGCATACCAACGCATACCAGTGCGTGCCAATGCATGCCAAACGCATGGCAACGCATGCCAATACATGCCAATGTATGCCGCTGAATGCCAATGCATGCTCACGCATGCCAACACATGCCCACGCATGCCAATGCATGCCAACGCATGCCAATGCGTGCCAACGCATGCCAACGCATGCCAATGCATGCCAACGCATGCCATCGCATGCAAATGCATGCAAACGCATGGCGACGCATGCCAATGCATCGGTGGGGCCCCAGCATGAGGGGTCAGGGCGTGAGGGGCCGAAGCGCCAGCATGAGGGGTCAACGCATGAAGGGCCAATGCCCCAGCATGAGGGGGTCAGCGCACGAAGGGCTTGCCAAGGCCCCGGCACGAGGGGTCAGGGCGTGAAGGGCCGAAGGCCCGGCATGAGGGGTCGACGCTTGCAGGGCCAATGCCCCAGCATGTGTGGGTCAATGCATGAGGGGCCAGCCAAGGCCCCAACATGAGGGGTCAGGGCATGAGGGGCCGAAGCCCCGGCATGAGGGATCAAAGCATGAAGCGCCAATGCCCCAGCATGAGGGGGTCAACGCATGAGACGCCAGCTAAGGCCCCAGCATGAGGGGTCAGGGCGCGAAGGGCTGAAGCCCTGTCATGAAGGGTCAACGCATGCAGGGCCACGAGGGGTCCACGCATGAAGGGCCAATGCCCCAGCATGAGGGGGTCAACGCATGAGGGGCCAGCCAAGGCCCCGGCATGAGGGATCAACGCATGAAGGGCGGATGCCCCAGCATGAGTGGTCCACGCATGAAGGGCCAATGCCACAGCATGGGGGGGTTAACGCATGAGGGGCCAGCCAAGACCCCTGCATGAGGGGTCAGGGCATGGGGTCCGAAGCCCCGGCATGAGGGGTCAACGCATGAAGGGCCGATGCCCCAGCATGAGCTGGTCAACGCATGAGGGGCCAGCCAAGGCCCCTGGTCAGGGCATGAGGGGCCGAAGCCCCGGCAGGAGGGTTCAATGCTTGCAGGGCCAATGCCCCAGCATGAGGGTCAACGCATGAGGGGCCAGCCAAGGCCCCAGCGTGAGGGGTCAGGTCATGAGGGGCCGAAGCCGTGGCATGAGGGGTCAACGCTTGAAGGGCCAATGCCCCAGCATGAGGGGTCAACGCATGAAGGGCCAGCCAAGGCCCCAGCATGAGGAGTCAAGGCATGAGGGACCGGAGCCCTGGCATGAGGGGTCAACGCATGAAGGGCCAATGCCCCAGCATGAGGGGTTCAACGCATGAAGGGCCAATGCCCTAGCATGAGGGGTCAGGGCATGAGGGGCCCAAGCCCTAGCATGAGGGTTCCACGATTGAAGGGCCAATGTCCCAGCTTCGGTGGGGGTCAACGCATGAGGGGCCAGCCAAGGCCCCAGCATGAGGGGTCAGGGCATGAGGGGTCCGAAGCCCCGGCATGAGGGGTCCACGCATGAAGGGCCCATGCCCCAGCATGAGGGGGTCAACGCATGAGGGGCAAGCCAAGGCTCCAGCATGAGGGGTCAGGGCATGAGGGGCCCGAGCCCTGGCATGAGGGGTCAACGCATGAAGGGCCGATGCCCCAGCATGGGTGGGTCAACGCATGATGGGCCAGCCAAGGCGCCAGCGTAAGGCGGTCAGTGCATGAGGGGCCGGAGCCCTGGCATGAGGGGTCAACGCATGAAGGGCCAATGCCCCAGCATGATGGGGTTAACGCATGAGACGCCAGCCAAGGCCCCAGCGTGAGGGGTCAGGGCATGAGGGTCCGAAGCCCCGGCATGAGGGGTCAACGCATGAGGAATGTCCCAGCATGAGGGGGTCAACGCATGAGGGGCCAGCCAAGGCCCCAGCATGAGGGGTCAGGGCATGAGGGGCCGAAGCCCCAGCATGAGGGGTCAACGCATGAAGGGCCAATGCCCCGGCTTGAGGGAGACAACGCATGAAGGGCCAGCCAAGGCCCTGGCATGAGAGAGTCAGCGCATGCGGGGCCGAAGCCCCGGCATGCGGGATCAACGCATGAAGGGCCGATGCCCCAGCATGAGGGGTCAACGCATGAAGGGCCATCCAAGGCCCCAGCGTGAGTGGTCAGGGCATGAGGGGCCGAAGCCTCGGCATGAGGGGTCAACGCATGAAGGGCCGATGCCCCAGCATGAGGTCAACGCAGGAGGAGTCAGCCAAGGCCCCAGCGTGAGGGGTCAGGGCATGAAGGGCCGAAGCCCCGACGCATGAAGGGGCACTGCCCCAGCATGAGGGGGTCAATTCATGAGGGGCCAGCCAAGGCCCCAGCATGAGGGGTCGACGCTTGAGGGACCAAGGCCCCAGCATGGCGGGTCGACGCATGAAGGGCAAGCCCCAGCATGAGGGGTAAGAGCATGAGGGACCGAAGCCCTGGCATAAAGGGGTCAACGCATGAACACAATGCCTGGTATGGGCAAGACTACCCTCTTCAATAGTGCAAGACTGGGGAAGGTTAACTTGCATATAGCCGTATCAGGGCGCGGCCCTGTGGAGGTAATACACCTCGTGCGACTGCCAAAGAACTGATTTGTCGAGTACGCAACTGCTCGCTCGACATGGCGATTTGCCAGCGGGGTTTGGACCCCTATTCGAAAACGGATTGCCTGTGTCGCCCCGGTGGCGTCACTCCAGAGGGCCCGGGCGAGGTGCTCTTCGGAGATCGATGGTCTCCTTACAGGCGCCCCGCGCGTCCTCACCCGACTGCCCAACAGGAGCCCTGCGCACCATTGGCACTGGGAGGAGGAGGAGGAGGAGGAGGAGGAGGAGGAGGAGGAGGAGGAGGAGGAGGGAGGAGGAGGAGGAGGAGGAGGAGGAGGAGGAGGAGGAGGAGGAGGAGGGGCAGGAGGGGGGAACTGAGGAGGGGAAGGATGAGGAGGAGGCGGAGGAGGAGGAGGAGGAGGCGGAGGAGGAGGAGGAGGGGCAGGAGGAGGAGGAGCAGGACTGGACGAGGGATACTAACGTCAATTCGAATGCGGATGGTAGTACGCAGAGGGGAAATGTAACACCATCGAGGCGGTAGTTGATTAAATGAGAGCACAGTGGTGGGCTTTTGGTGGCTCGGATGTCCCCCTCCTTCCTCCACCCTCTCGTTCTGTTGCCTTCCCCTCCATCGTCGTCGTCCTCCTCCTCCGAGTCCTACTCCTCGTCCCTTCTTCTCCCTTCTCCTCTCCTCATCCTGGTCCCCATCTTCCGCTAGACCTTGAAATCCGCTCAACCCCCAGCCGACGCCTGCCCTCGGAGGGCACTGCCTGAGCATCCCACCGACGGGTCAGATGCGCGATGCGATGCGCGGCGGCAGGGCGGCGATGAAGATTAGCGCTGGCTGCCGCGCGGCGCGAGGAATTCTTGGAGATGACGGGCGGGGGAACTCCAATGGGGGCTGCGCGGGAAATTGGTAGACGCCGCCGGCCGCCGCGGGGCGGGGGACATGTGGCGGCGGGGAAGCGACGCGAGCAGCGGCGCGAGGAGCCGCGCGTTGGGCAGCAGCGCGTCGGCTCTGCGTGGAATGGGGAAAGGAGCCGCGATGAGGCGGCGCGCTCTGGCAGGCGCGCCGGCGGCGGGGGCGGCGGAGCAGCGCGGATGCGCGGGCGAGATGGAGGCGCGGGGCGCGGGGTCTGCGTGAGAGAGGCAGAGGGGCCGAGCGCCGCGCGGCGCGGCGGGGGCGCGAGCGCCCGCCTCTGGCGCGACGGGCGCGGCGGCGGCGCCCGCGGGGGCAGCGGCGCTCGCGGGCGGCGCGGGGGGTGGCGGGCGAGATGCAGGTGGTAGTTTTCTATCAGGCCAGAGTGCGCGGTGCACCGACAAATCCGCGTCGGGTCAGGGGGCCCCTCGCGGCGGCCGCTGCCGCGGGCGCGCGGCCTCGCCCGAGTGCGCTGGCGGGCCCAGAGGCTCCAGCGGAGCCGCGGTCGAATGCGGTCGCGGAGGACCGGTCGCAGAACGACCGACGGCGCATCGCGCGAGTGCGGACCGCGCCTGGTCATCGGAGGACGTGAACGAGTTGCGGGGGCACTTGCGCAAGGGGCATCGTGACGTAACGCTGCCCGTGGCGGAGCGGATTCGCCATTCGGACGAGCGCGAACTGCTCCGCATCGCGGCGGCGCGCCGCGATGTCGTGGCAGGTGCCGCCCGGGGCGGGGCGCCGCTGGCGGCGCGGCCCTTGCGCCGTCGGAGTCTGTAAACGCGCGGGCGGGGGGGGCGTCGCGCCCCCGGCATTCTGCGCGCGCGCGGTTCCGCGGGCGCGAGGAAGGCGCGGAAACGAGATGTCGCGGGGGCAGCAGTTCAAATCTATCGCAGGGGGGCCACGCGTAGCGGGTGATTTCGGCGAGCGGGCCATGGGGGGGCGCGAAGTTGGGCTTCAGCGTTGCAGCGCGCTTTCGAAATTCTTCACGCTTCGCGTATCCCCACCAGCCCATCTCAAAACAGCAACTCTTGCGAAGCATGCCGACAGTCGTGTTTTTCAGGCGTGTTTCCGCCTGCCCCCGCATATCTCCCCTGTTCCTCCTTCCTCCCGCCTCCTTGTACATCCTCCTTGTGGTGGGAGCGGGAGAAGGACGAGGCGGAGGAGGAGGGAGAGAAAGCGCTCCTCGTGGTTTGAGTCGTTTGGGGTTTCTCGTCCTGGTGTGAGTCGTTCGGGCCCTTCTTCCTGGTGTGAGTCGTTCGGGCTCTTCGTGGTGTGAGTCGTTCGGGCTCTTCGTCCTGGTGTGAGTCGTTCGGGCTTCTCGTGGTGTGAGTTGTTCGGGCCCCTCATCCTGGTGTGAGTCGTTCGGGCCCCTCCTCCTGGTGTGACTCGTTCGGGCTCCTCGTGGTGTGAGTCGTTCGGGGCCCGCGTCGTGGTGTGAGTCGTTCGGGCTCCTCGTGGTGTGAGTCGTTCGGGCGCCTCGTCCTGGTGTGAGTCGTTCGGGCCCCTCCTTCTGGTGTGAGTCGTTCGGGCTCTTCGTGGTGTGAGTCGTTCGGGCCCCTCGTCCTGGTGTGAGTCGTTCGGGCTCCTCGTGGCGTGAGGCGTTCGGGCACCTCGTACCCTTTTGGGGCGTCTTGGGGGCCTCTTGGCGGCCCCAGGGGCTTCTAGGAGCGTCTTGGGTGCCTTGGGGGAGCCTCTTCGGGCCTCTTGGGATCCTCTTGGAGGCCGTTTGGGGCGTCTTGGGGGCCTCTTGGCGGCCCCAGGGGCTTCCAGGAGCGTCTTGGGTGACTCGGGGGAGCCTCTTGGGGCCTCTTGGGTGCCTCTTGGGGGCATCTTGGGGGCGTCTTGGAGGCCTCTTGGGGGCCTCCTGGGGGCCTCTTGGGGCCATCTTGGGGCCTCTTGGTGCCTCCTGGGCGCTTCTCGATCAAAGAAGAGGGGAGCTTCAATTAGCGCTGCCCCCTCAGAAGGGCAAAATGGGCCCAAAACCTTCGTAAAATCGATGATTTTGCATTGAAAGAAGAGGGAAGCTTTAATGAGCGCTGCCCCCTCAGAAGGCCAAAATGGGGCCAAAACCGTAGTACAATCAATGATTTTGGCTTCAAAGAAGAGGAGAGGGTTTTTTCTGCCTCCCCCCGTCGGGGCCAGAATCCTCGTGAGGGGTGTCGTTTTTTAGCCCTCCCAGGAGTCGAAATTGACCCCCCGGACGACCCGCGAGGCGCCCTCTCCAGGCCCAGGGGGAGGGGGTAGGGGGAGGGGTAAACCCCTCCCCGAAGGGGAAGAAGGGGGGTTGAGAACAGAGAGAGCTCGCTAATCCACTCACGCCCAAAGGGCTGGTGGGACTAGTGCGCCGAACCAGGGAGCGGCGCGCTAGAGCTGCAAATTGACGCATTGGGGGCGGCAGATTTTGACGGTTGTAACGCGGCAGCCCCGACGGCCAGCGGCGATGGGACAGTGTCGCGCTGCCCGGGGGGACAGCGGCGCTGCGAGGGGTGCCCGGAGAGGGGGGCCGCGCGCCGATCGCGCAGCGCGCCGCTATGCGACGGGCGCGAGGGGGAGACAGACAGACCGGAGAGGCGGTCGCGGCCGCGGCGCCGACAGTTCCGCGCCGCAGTCTAGCAAGTCATTCGATGGCGAATTCTATGCGCTAGGTCGCATATACGGAGGGCATGGGAGTGAAGGAGATGGCCCGCGCATCGAGTCAACGATTCTCTCTTCCCTGGAGATGAAGTTCCAGAGTGGAGACGGGGGCGGAAATAGCAAGGATTCGTTATTTGACAGTGCCTTAGCATGTCGCGCCGCACGGCTGGCGGCGCGGGGAAACGCCGCCAGCTTCGCGTCGCCCTGGAAAGGAGTCTAGCAGAACTGCGGTGGCTGGAGAAGGCCGGGCTGCAAAGGGGCGGCCCGGCACCGCCGCGCGCAGGGGGGGGCGTGGATCGGCCGCCCAGATTTCCCCGAAGACCAGCGACGCGACGACGAAGGAGAACCTGCCACCTTTTGTTCTGCAAGCGAGTGCGCGGCGTGGACGGTGGAACGTGCAGCGGCCTTCTGCCCGCCCCGCCGCCGCGCCCCCCCCTCGGTTGTGGGTGGGCGTCTGCAGGGGGCCCGTGGGGGGTAGTGGTGGGGCCTTCAGGGGGCCTCTTTAGCGCCTTGCGGGATCCTCTCGGGGGCATGTTGGAGCTTCCGGGCGGCCCGTGGGGCGCTTGTTGGGAGCTCCCGGGGGGGCCTCTTGCAGCTGTGGCTTGGGATCTCCGTCAGGGCCCGTTTTGAGGGCGTCGTGGGCAGTCTTGGAGGCTTCTCGGGCCGTCTCGGATCCCCCTTGGGCCGTTCTGGAGCTCTCTTGGAGGCCCCCGTGGCAGTCTTGCGCCGATGTTGAGGGCCTCTTGCGCCGCGCTGGAGCGTTTGGAAACCGGAAGGGCGAGAACTCAAACATATGTTCCAAACCGCGGCGGAATCATTACTGGTTCGCGTCTTGGGGCCCACATGCCCATGGGGCGTCTCGCGGGCAACTTGGGCCGTCTGGGGGCCGGGTTGGGCATGTGGGGGTGATCTCCCCGCGGGTCGGAGCCCTCTTGGACCGTTTTGGCAGCCTCTCGGGGCCCTCGTGGCCCGATTCGGGGCCCGAGCCCTCCGCGACGCGTTCGTCTGCGGCGGGCGGGGGAGGGGGCAAATTCATGGTTGGGGTTTCCTGGGGGAGGGGGGGAGGGGGCCTGTGGGGGGGGGAACAACCCCACGCGCACGGAGACCCGCCAGGGGTCGGCGGATTTGGTGCGCCACGTGGCGTTTTCACGTGGCTAAGATGTCCACCGTGCCCCCCCCCTTTGAGGACCTGTGCCATGTCCTCCTCGTTGTCATATTATTCCTACCCCTTCTCCTCGCCCTTCTTCTCCGTTCGAGTTTGCGCGCTCCGGGCGGCCGCAGCCGTTGCTGATCGCTGTTTTGCCAAGATGTGCGCTAAGTCCTTGATCCTTCCCCGCCCTCCCGCCTCCCGCCTCCCGACTCCGTCCCACGTCTTCTGCCCCTTGTCTCCCGCTTCGGCCCCCCCCACCGCCCTTCCATCGTCACTAGTCATCCTTCTTTTTGTTCTTTCTTTCCTCCGCCTTTTCTCGTCGTTTTGATTATCAGCCTCCTCACCTTGTTCTTCCCGTGGAAGTGGGTATGTGGATGGGCGGGGGTCTGCTTTGCAGTTTCCTCTTTCTGTTCCCCTGTGGTGCTGCTCCTTCCCGTCTCCCCTACTGCGTTCCCCTTCCCCCTGCTCCTTCTCCTGCTCCTCCTTCGACACGCTCCTATTCGTCCCGACTGTTTCCATATTCGTCCTCTTGTCTTGCAGCGCGGGCGATCACGCGCCAGTGGCAGGAGATCGGGAAGGATGGCAGAGGTCTCGCGGATGCGTCGGGTATGAGCCAGCGGCAGCAGCGCGACAGGAATTGTCCAAGATGCCTGGGGCATCCGAGATGCGCGTCACGGTGGAGAAGTTGGTGTGAGCATGGCGAACCCCCATTCTTGTAGATGCTAAAGTATTGCTAGGACAGGCTGTGGGAGTTATCCTACTCCTCCTTCTCACGCTTCCTTATCAGTTTCAGAGTCGTTCGTGCTAGGGAGGTGAAGGAAGTCCTACGCCTTCCGCTGCTTCCACTTATTCAGTCGGTACCCTTCCTTTCCCATTCCCAGTGCCAAGCCGAGTCGATCCGATGAGGAGAAGGGATCGCACCAGCAGGTGACTAATGAGCAGGAGGGGAAGGAGGAAATCGAGGGGGAATGGGCAAGCTAGGTGCGCCCGCGCCATGTATGATATCCGGACCCTCCCTCCCATCCCTCCCCATTGCCCTGTTTGCTTCTCTTTCCGCGGACGCGTGTCATAGCGGGCCTGGACCTCCCAGACAGATCCCATCGTGTTATGCGCACTGCAGAAGGGGGGAACCGAGCAGGAATAATGGAAGGAGCATAAGGACGGGGCGCTGAAGAAGGAACCCTTTTCGTTGGGGAGGGGCTCCGTGTTCCTTGATTGTTCCACAGTTTGTCTTATGTATTCCTCAGGTTTTCGTTGGGAAATCGAAGTTTAACTTATGAGAAAAAAGGGGCCTCGTTCCTTATTTAGGGTTCCTTAGGTCAACGCCTCGACTGTAAGGACGGATGGGAAAGAGGACGAGGACGAACAGCAGCAGCGGGAACTGGTGCGGATGCAGCGGGAGAGCAGGAGGACCAGGGGATCGCAGAGGAGGGGGCACGAAGGGGACCACACCGGTGGGGAATCCTTTGGATCCAGAAAGGTCCGCGCCATTTTGAACGACGGGATCGAAGCGCCGATCCAAAAACGAGGACCCATGCTGCAGCGGGAGTACCATATGAAGCACCGAGCATCATCGGATGTTAAGCAGCAGTGGGCAAACTTACCTTCTGTCCAGTTCTGCGCGAAAGCGCAATACGCGGAGAGAGCGGTACCAGACTGTGTAAGTGTGTTCTCCTTTGCCGCCGCCACGCCACGACGCCGCTGGTCCTCCTCCATCGCCCGCAGCAAAGGAGAGTATACTGTCCGTCCAGCCTCGTCTGCCCACAGTTGGCCTGCAGGTCCCACCGAGGACCTCGGTGCCGGCGGCAGCACGGGTGGTGCGGGTGTTCGCCGCCGTCGCCCGATCTCCACCGCCGGCACGGCCCCGATGATGATGATGGGCAGGGGGGCTATTATGGGCTGCCCTGGCCCTTCCTGTCACCGCTGTCCCTCTGTCTCTTCCTTGCTGGATCGATCGCTCAGCCGTACTGCCGCGCCTGGGCCCACGGCCCCAAGCGCGCGGCTGAGGCCCTTCCAGCGTCAGCCTCCAGGGCCCCCGCGGGCAGCCGCCCGGGGGCCCCTCTGGGCGCCGGGCTGCTGCTCCGCGCCAGGCCGTCGCCGTCGGCTGCTCCGCTATTGCCCTGTTCGGCCGCGGCCGCCCGAGCGCGCGCAGAGCCTCGGACTCAAAAGGTCCGAGAGAAAAACTTGAGCCCAAATGGGCCGCGGATATTCCCCTTCCCAGGCACCACCTACTACAAGCTTACGTTCTAAGCTGCGCGCGAACTCCCACGAGGAGGAGGAGGAGGAGGCGGAGGAGGAGGAGGAGGAGGAGTAAGAGGAGAAGGAGGAGGAGGAGGAGGAGGAGGAGGAGGAGGAGGAGGAGGAGGGAGGAGGAGGAGTCTGAGGAGGAGGAGGAGGAGGAGGGAGGAGGAGGAGGAGGAGGAGGAGGAGGGAGAGGAGGAGGAGGAGGAAGACGAGGAGGAGGAGGAGGAGGAGGAGGTGGAGGAGGAGAAGGAGGAGGAGGAGGAGGAGGAGGAGGAGGAAGAGGAGGAGGAGGGAGGAGGAGGAGGAGGAGGAGGAGGAGGAGGAGGAGGAGGAGGAGGAGGAGGAGGAGGAGGAGGAGGAGGAGGAGGAGGAGGAGGAGGAGGAGGAGGAGGAGGGGAGGAGGAGGAGGAGGAGGAGGAGGAGGAGGAGGAGGAGGAGGAGGAGGAGGAGGAGGAGGAGATGAGGAGGAGCAGGAGGAGGAGGAGGAGGAGGAGGAGGAGGAGGAGGAGGAGGAGGAGGAGGAGGAGGAGGAGGAGGGAGGAGGAGGAGGAGGAGGAGGAGGAGGAGGAGGAGGAGGAGGAGGAGGAGGAGGGGGGAGGAGGAGGAGGAGGAGAAAACGTAGATCGAGGGCGGTCCTGCCGGTGCAGGTCGGTGGGGAGGGTTCGGCGCGCGGCCTTCCTGCCTCGCTGCCGTGGCACATAGCCGAGGGGCCAGCAGAGGCCCAAGGACAGCAGGCAGGCTGGCACAGTGGAGGCCCCTACCAAGAGACGCCCTGCTTGCCTCTAGGGTGCCCCGGGGTTTTTGTGTTTCGCTGGTTCTGCGAGGGAGAGCGCGACGCTCCCACACTGGACGTCCTGGGGTCTTAGGGTTGGGTTTCTTGTGGAAGGTTCCTTGTGGACTAGCCTCCAGTGTACACCCAGATAGGCTGGTACAGTGGAGGCCCATGTCAAGAGACACCCTGCTTGCCTCCAGGGTGGTCGTCATTTTCTATTCATTGTTCTGACGATCGGCGCGGGTCCTCTCATCCCCCACCCTTCCCCCCATGGAGTATATCTTGGCTGTTTTGAGCGCCTGTTTCAGGCAGGCGCAGTCTCTCCCATAGGGCGCACTGTTGCAAACAGTCGCATTAAGCAAAGGCCCAGAGCCAGACCCATTCCCCTCCCGCACAATGTCGAAACGTCGAATAAGAAAACGTTCACGTGCCCCGGGTGTCTTGGGTTTCGAGGGTTTTGCGATGGAGAGCGCGACGCTCCCAGACCGAGAATCCGTGAACGTCCTGGGGTCTCAGGGTTGGGTTTCTTGGGGGAGGTTTCTTGTGGACTGGCCTCCGCTGTACACCCAGATGGGCTGGCACACCCAACAGGGGAGGCACTGTGCCCCCCCCCCCGGCGGCGCCGCCGGCGCCGCCTCTGGCGCGCTCTGCGCGCCGGGGCGGGGGCCCAGAGCCGATGCCAGAAGGCAGCGCGGACCTCCGAAGGTTTACGGCTCGCGGTCGGGAGCCTTTGGATGGCGCGTCGCTCCGCCGGCCTCGGCCCACCGTGCCTCGGTGCGGCACGCCATATGCGCTCCGCGGCCGCGAGGCGTCAGCGCCCCGAGTTTGTCTCCGGGCCTCCCCGCCACGCGGAGCGGGGAGGCACGCTGTCCGCTCGCAGGGCATGGCTTGCCGCCGGGGCCGCCGTGGCGACACGCTGTCTAGAAGTTCTGGACCGTAGCAGGGGAGCCACAACTGGGGGAGCTGTGGTCCTTACCCCCCTGGGGGGCCCATCGATTTCGGCACCCCTCTCGAGAGATCGTCGATGCGATGGGTTCCCCCAGGGGGATGAGGACCACAGCTCCCCCAGGTATGGCTGGTCGGCGTAGGCCGGTACAGCCAAATCCTAGGCTCGCCGCGAGCGCTGCCCGCCCCTGCTTGGCCCTAGGGCTCTGGGCCCTGCCTGCCGCCGCGCGGCCCGCAGAAGAGATGACCACTCACGGTCGTAAGGGCTGCGGAAGGCGGCGGGAGTCAAGGAGGCAGCCCCCCCCCAGAGCAGGAAGGGACAATGTCGGGTCGGTTCAGGCCACTTCGGCCGCAGCCCAGTTCGGTTGCTCCGATTCGGTGTCGGCGGTGTGCTGGCTTTGAAGGTTTCGGTATGGTCATTCGGGCCGTATCGGTTCGGCCGCCACAGAGCGGTCCGGTTTCGGGCGGTCTGGTTCGGCAGCCGAACATCCAGACCACATAGAGGTCAGCGCCAGCGGATTTTCAGAGTGCTTCTTCGGACGGCCAAGCAGGCGGCACCACAGAAGGGAGCTCACAAAAATGGAGGACGCGGGTGGATGGAGTAGACCAAGATGAGAATGAGGAGGATGAGTTGAAGTGAGTGGGGAAAAGGAGAGGGATGAAGAGACCTTCCTTATCTTCATGCCTCGATCGCATCCCCATCCCTATTCCCATTCATAGATGTCACTCCAATCCTGGTATCGTATACTCTTCCTCTCCCTCCCACCCTTGTCCTCTCCCGAGTCCTCTTTCTCCCCCGCCGTGCTCGTGGTCCTTCTTGGTAATCCTCGCCAGCGTCGTTATCGTCGTCGCCTCTCTCCTCGTCCCCGTCTTCTCGTGCTCGAGTTCTTGTCGTTTCCAGAGCCGCCCTCAAGCCACCGTCTACCCGTGGCAGATTTCATGAGGGACGCCTGATCCCAAATCCGCTATGCTTGGTAGCAGGAGGAAGACGAATTTCGGACCAGGTGCGCCGCAAATTTGATTTCAGTGTAGGCGCGGTGCGAGGACCAGACTTGAGAAGAATAGTGCTCGTACAAACTGCATCGCGCAAGTCAGTATTCGAAGCGCTCCTGTCTGGCCTGCCTAGGTGGCGCTTGCTTGGCCACCGTCGTGGCCCTTCATACTCTTGCCCACCCATCTGCTCTTCACAGACACGATTGAGCCCACTGGCACAAGTCTAAGTCTTCAAGGGGTGATGACCCCGACACGCTTTGCATGCCCTCTTCCCGATGACTTTCTGGCATTCTCGCGAGAAGTATCGTGCATATTGTTTTCCGTTGCACCTGCTTGGCCATTTCCCCCTCCCCTCTTTCTCCCTCTCTCTCTATCATTGTCTCTCTTTTTTCCCCTCTCTCTCTAGCTTCTTTCTCTCGTTCTCTCTCTCTCTCTCTCTCCCTCTCTCTCTCTCTCTGTCTACATATATACGTGTGTGTATCCCCCTCTCCAGCTACTTCCTCAGCAGTGCCTGCACTTCGGTTTTTCTTACTTCTGTTATAAGGAACTGGGCAGTGCCTTCGGTCTGGCGGCTATGTGGCCGCCGTCGCCGCCCCGTCACCGCCTCGCCGCTTCGTCCCCACCCGTGGCCGCCGTTCGGTTCTCGTTTTTAAAGGGGCAACAGATTCTACCCCCCACCCCCGGAATCATTGGTTCCCCTTTTCCCCATCGTCCGTCGTAAGTCTGAATCCACACCATCCCAGCCAGGCTGGTATCGACCTTTCCCCGCCATCCTTGGCAACAAATGTTATGCGCGCGCTCTCGTTTATCAAACAAACACTCGTTGCCAGGTACCTTTTGCAAAGCAAGCGCGACGTAGTGCACACGCGCGCGTCGTCGCGCGCGCATGGCGAAAGCATTGAAAAGCCGTCGGTTTCGGAAGGATTTCACAATCGAATGCCTCGATCACATATATCAACACACAGTTCTGCAACAAGGGTTTGCAAACACACATGCGCTCGCGTTCTTGCTAATTCTTTGAAGAAATCCATTGGTTTTCAGACTTTCCATACAATTTTTCCAAATGGGCCTCTTCCGCGCGCGCCGAAATCGTTCGAACGCCTTTGCGCGCGTGGTGTCGCAAGAATCCCTTGAAAGAGCGGGACGAGGCGCACGCGCGCGCGTCGTCGCGCGCGCATGCCGAAATCCTTGCAACAAATTCTTGGTTTCGTAAGGATTTCAAAACCGAGTGGCTCGCGCTCAGGCGGGTTCTTCAGAAAACCACCGGTTTTCCAGAATTGCCATCGGATTCTGCCAAGCGGGTCTTTCGCGCCGAATGTCGAACTCATTCGAACGTCCTTGCCCGCGTGTTTGGGGGGGGGGTCACGATCCGTGTTAAATAACGCCACGCAGGCCAATCGCGCGAGTCGCCCGCGCAACAACCTTCATCGCCGACGCGAGGACATCGTCATCATTATCGGCGGGCGTGATCAACGTCGGCGCCCTCATTGGCCTTGCCGTCGTCATCGCCACCTTCGACACCATCGCTACTCCCAGAATCGTGTCTACCATTGTCGGCGACGCCATGATACCGCGCCCGCCCAATTCACCGACTCGCACTGAAGTGTCCGCTGGGAAGGGCCCGGCGGTCAGCGCCACCGCGGCCGAGTCGGTCGCGCCAAACTAGCTGGCCGCTCCGCGCGCGAGCGTGCGCGGGCTAACGCAGCCGCAGAGATGCAGCAGCCAACGCCAAGCATTCATCGCAATCGCAGACGCATGGGTTGTGCAACCCAAGTGACGGGTGGGTGGGTGGGATGTTTGCAAGAGCATGGAATTTGCCAGCTCGTTTGTGAAAATCAATGGCACCACGTAAATTGCGCGAGCCAGAAATGAATCGCTGAATCGTTCACATCATAGATTGCACTGCGCATGCTGCACAACATGGGTTGCACCACACATGCCGCGCAACCTATGTTGCGCAATCACCTACATTGCACCGTATGGCGTGCGCCGCGTAGATTCTTCTTTCCGACAGAATATCAGGATCTAGCCCCCCCCGCCCACCCGGCACTTACCGGGTCACCTTTTCGCATTGTAAGCTACATGCGATTACGGTAGGGGCGCTGACGAAGGAACCATTTTTGTTGGGGAGGGGCTCGGTGTTCCATGGTTGTCTTATCACAGTTTGCCTCAGGTTGTTCTGAGGTTTTCCATGGGAAATCGAAGTTGAACTTTTGGTATGGGACAAAGGGGCTCCGTTCTTTATTTAGGGTTCCTTAGGTCAACGCCCCGACTGTATGCCCCATCGTCCGTCTTAACTATGAGTGCATACCACCCCAGGCAGGCCTGCAATGGTTCCCCACCTTATCATCTGCAATAAATGTTATGCGCGCATTCATTTGTTCGAAAATCATTCGTGTCCAGGAGTCTCTTGCAAACAATGGCGCGATTTGCAAGCGCGCGCGTCATCGCGCGCGCGTGTTGAAATCTCATGTGTATACAGATAAGCATAAAACCGACGGATTCGCTCGTTCGGGTTGAAAAAACCGACTGTCACGAAAACGCGTATAAGACATAGGTTGCTCAATGCGTTTTTTCTTTTTATATATATATATATATATATACATATATATGTGTATATATATATATATAAACTTGCGTTCGCGCTCTTGCAGATTCTTGAGATATTGATTTTCCACCTTTTTAATGGGATGCCACCAAACGGGCCTCTCGCGCGCGCGTCGAAAACGTGTGAGCGCGCTCGCGCGCGCTCTGTCGCCAGAACCCCTTGCGCCAATGGGGGGAAATGCGCGCGCGTCGCCGCGCGCGCATGCCAAAATATAACAGAAACCTTGTGGTCTCGTCGGGGTTTCAAAAACGAGTTCCCAGACAACGCGTTAACACACGCTGCTGCGCACCACGAGCGTTTCAAAATGCTCGCGCGCGAGCTCTTGCGAATTCATCAGAAATCCATCGGTGCGTCAACGTTGTCATCCAATTCTTGCCAAACGGGCCTCTCGCGCCACGCGACGAACAAAAATCCGGGCGCCCTTGCACGCGCGCTGGGCGGGGGGGGGGGGGCGCAGGGGCGCGCGATCCGCGTCGAATAATGCTGCGCGGGCCACTCGCGCGCGTCGGTCGCGCGCCCGTGCCGAACTCCTTCCAAAACCTCCGTCGCCGACGCCGACGCGAGGACATCGTTGCCATTGTCGGCGGGAGTGATCAGCGTCGTCGCCGTCATTGGCCGCGCCGTTGTCGTTGCCGCTGTCGTCGCAATCCCCGCTACTCTCATCTTTGCGTCTACAGTTGTCGCCGCCCCCGTGATATCGCGCCCGTCCGAGTCACCGACTCGCATTGAAGTGCCCGCTGGGAAGTTCCCAGCGGCCCGCGCCACCGCGGCCGCGTCAGTCGCGCCGCGCTAGCTGGCCGCTGCGCGCGCGAGCATGCGCAGGTTAGCGCGTCCGCAGAGATATACCAGCCACTGCCAAGCCCCCATCGCAATCGCCATCGCATGAGCTTTCGAAACCGAGTTGCGGGCGGATGGGTGGGATGATTGCTCGAGCAGTGAAGTTGACCGCTCGCTGCGAGCATCGGTGAATATCACCGCGTAGCTCTTGCGGTGCATATATGCATGCACATGCAGACCTGTGCGCAGGCAAATTTGGATGGTACTGCGCAACTATGTGAGTGCACAGCATCGATTGCACAACGCTGGTTCTGCGCTTTAAAAGATTATTCGCATCTTCCCTCTCCCCGCGCTGCCCCCCACCCTTCCGGGGATTGACTACTCCGCTTTTAAAAGGTTGCAGCTGACGTGCGGCTCTGCCCCGTCGTCCATCCTGAATTTGAGTTCTTGCCGTCCCAGGCAGGCCGGCATCGCCCCCCTCTTCATCCTCTGCTAAAGCTACGACGCGCGCGCATTTGTCTACCAAAATTATCAGTTTTCAGGAATCCCTGGCGAACGTCGGACGAAGTGCACGCGCGCGCGTCGTCGCACGCGCATGTCTTTTGTTGTTGCTGTTTTCTTGCTTTGGGAAAATAGGTTTCGTTCGGATTTCAAAATTGAGCACCTTGAAATATGTGTAGCAACGCGTAGTTTCGCGAGGCGAATTCTCAACCAACCACAAAACTTGCGCTCGCGTTCCTGGGCGTTTTCAAGACACCCATTGGTTTTCCAACATGTTCATACATGGTACTGAACGGGCCTCTCGCGCGCGCGTGTCGATATCGTTCGAACGCCCGCGCGCGCGTGCTGTCGCAGGAATCCATTGCAGGAAGCAGGGCGAAGTGCACGCGCGCGTCGTCGAGCGCGCGCCGAACCCCCTCCACAGCCTTTGTGCGTTTCGCGAGGATTTCAAAATCGAGCGCCCCGAGAACTGTGTAAGCGCATGGTTTCGCAACATCAGTTCTCAAAGATGCCTGCGTTCGCGTTCCTGCGACTTCTTGAGAAACCCTGGTTTCTCAGCGTTGCCAGTAAATTCTGCCAATCGGCCCCCTCGCGCCGCGCGTCGAAATCATTCGAGCGCCCTCGCGCGCGCTAGGGTGGGGGGGCAGGGTCGGGTGCGCGGCGCCAGGCGAGCCGCTCCCGCTTGTCGGCCGCGCGCGCTCGTCGAACTCTCCCGAGACTTCCATCGCCATCGTTGTCGGCGCGGTCAGCGTCGGCGCCGTTTCTGGCTTCGAAATCATGTCAGTTATCATCGTCGCCATCGTGGCCGCCATCATCGCCGCGTTTACCGTCGACGACGTTGCCCCGGTGATGCGCCCGCTCAAGTCGCCGACTCGCATTGAAGTGCCCGTCGGGAAGTGCCCGGCGGCCAGCGCCACTGCGGCCGCGTCGGCCGCGCCGCGCAAGCTGGCCGCTGCGCGCGCGAGCGTGCGCGGGTTAGCGCGGCCGCAGAGATGCAGCAGACAATGCCGAGCACTCATCGCAATCGTCGCCGCGGGGCTTCACGGACCGCGTTGCGAGCGGGCGGGCGGGGCGATCGCGAAAGCCGCGGCGCGGGCCATCCACCGCGAACAGAAATTAATTGCAAGACAAAGATTGCACCAGCATATAATATTGCACCACATATCTGTACAGAAACATTTGTCCTTTCCGAAACGGCATTGGGGTCTACGGCGCCCGTAGTGTTTTCGCATGTCGTTCGCGCGTGATTCCGCGCGCCCGCCCGCGCGGACTGTGAATTCACACCGTGCCAGGTGGCCCCTTCATCGACCCCCCTCATCC